ACTTTGAGGAATAGAGTCTTCTTTCCCACCGTCAGTATGACGAGTTTTACCGGTCTTTCGTCAATAATGTCTGCTGATTACTTTTGTTGTTTTACCCGCTTTCGTGTTTTGTGTGCGTTGTTTTCTGCCAGTTGATGAACAAATTAGACCATGTTTTTTCTAGTCTTCCAGATGATTCCTTACAAGGACTATGCGTTACGGTGCGACTTTCATTGAACGCAATTAATTTAGACGGCAGTCCCCAAGTACAACATATGAAGGGGTTGCCCCCAAACTGCCACCTCCGCAAAAGAAATGACAGCATACGACGTGGCATGAGTTACATATAACTTTATAGATTGTACGGTTATGCCCCAAGAACGCCTAAGACATTTTACAATTGGGGATGTTTGCCCGCCGAGCGTTCGCTTTGACGGGGCATGTTTTAATCGAGACGAATCTGCTCCGCCACAGTCGCCTACCCACTTCTTTATAGTTTACGAGCTGTCATCTAGACCCCACCGCAAGGAGAGGTCTCCGACATAATACCCGAACAAGGATGGCCTCCTGGTGAGGTGTTTGGCCCTTATCCCCACAGTAAATCTCTCGCTCTATTTTTATAACTTGGCAGGCGCAAGAGTATAAGCTGCTACCTGATCACTAGGCTTCGGCTGTCTTTTTGCCTGTCATCTTGAAAGAAAATAATGGCGAGTGGAGGTCGGGTGTCTGGTATCACCGTTCCCTGAAAAATATCCCATGACTGAGGCATACAGACTGTTTCAACTAAGACAGTCAGGGCTCACTGCGAAAACATCGCGAGGGTATCTCATATCAAAGAGACGTCACGGACGATTCGGCTAGCTCCATGTTGTATGTTCACTGCATCCATAGCAATATTTTCAGTTGCAGTTGTTTGGTAGCAGACACCTGACGCACCTACATCCGCTAAATTTCAGTGGACCAGAGGTACTACCGACGTCAGGTTAGGCTGAAATCACTCACATGCGCAGTTACCCCTCGACCCTGTCGCCAGCGGGGGTCATAAGATTTCGTCACCAGGTCGACACTATATAGCAGAATCATCTCATTCATCGGGTAAGAAATACACAATTGATCCATCGCCTTTCTGACCATCCAGATGTACTTTGCAAAGGCAATCGGAGGGAGGAATATGGTGGGCAGACCGTAAGCACCGCCCGTGAAATATACTCATACGTTGTATTCCCTCAGTAAATACTGTCCAGCATCATACCCACACAGAAAGTTCCTCGTGGTAGAAGCCTCGTGTACTCACAGCTCACACCGATTTGACAGTTGTTTACAAAGTCGGTCCAGGGCCACGCATGCCCGTTTGGTCGGAGAGTTTATTCCTTATCGGTTCGTGTGAGTATTTAGCTCAGATTAACAGATGCTGAACACTATCCTTAGGACTTTGCCGAGCAAACATCATCAATATCGGGATCCGAGACTACCATCTTTTTCTTTCGGCTGGGAGAAGGGGTTATTTTCAGATCATTTTCGCTTGATTTCACACCCATCCAGGACACAAGAATGGTGAATTTCTTCAAAGGCCTTAACAGTTTGCGACGTCATTTGGATAACTCTGCTCCGTAATACATGAGCCACGACCTACTCTAACACCACGATGGTCAGTCACTGCGTGCCAAAGCGCAGTCTATCACATTGGACAGTTTTGGTGAAAGAGAATTGCCCTGAAAGGGTTTCGGAGATGACATTAAACAAGTTCCTTTTCTCACTACTCACGCGGATTTTTTCCATTATTTCGCGACATTCATCTTGAACCAGTCAAAGTAACCTCGACTTCATGCGAACATGCGGCATGATCGGCCACATGCAATTCATATGGACAGAAACATAAATTGGACCGGTAATGGCAGTTGCCAACTTAGAGGTTCTGGAGAGGCCAGAAGTAATGACCAATGCATAATCAGTCTGAAAGAAAACAGCACTGATTATTTTCCGTCCATATCCCGCGGTACAATCGGGGGTGATAGGGGCCGACCGAATACTTTCGGGCACTGTTAGGGAGGTTTAAACATGTATTCGTCACCTCTGATGATCGGCGTATTGACAATGTCGGCGGCTGTTGTTTCCTAAATTCCGGTTAAAAGGTCCTGTAGCGGCCCAACAAAATACTGTAAACCAAAGATCGTGGCCTTCAACTGGCTATTAGTCTGCATTTGATTCCCTGTTCTTCATCGCCATCACTACTGCCTCAACGATCTTAGCCAGTCGCCTGCAGCCGCGGTTGTGCACGGAAGCTTGTGATATCTTCAAAACGAATAGTATGTACCGAATTCAGAAACTGAGCAAGTTCCTTCTCCCAACGCAGGGTCCTGTCTTCCAGTGATACTTCCATACTGCATGCGGCTCGTCCTTGACAGAGGATCTTTGCCACGCCAGCCACCGCCCCCCTCGCCCCAATTTCACCTTCAGCCAGCTTGACTTGGACGTGCCCCGGGTGTATGGAGGAAGAAGAAGAGGAAGAGGGAGGTGGGTGAAGTCGATCCAGCTCGGATTCAGGACTTAGTTTCCTCACCGCAAGCAATCAGACACACTCTTGCCTGTCATTACATGCATACAGTCGTGACCAGGAAAGTTGCCAACTGACAGCATAATTCAGTCCTCTTCTGAACCGAGGGCCGGACTGAAATTGCCACATCGAGTAGTTCAAATGGATGCATGCACGGGCACGTGCGATACGTGACTTCCATTTCAGTAGACTCTGCGTACACTCCATCTCAAGCCATCTTGGTATGGTTTTACCATTGTAAGAGGGTGGGCATGAGAAGGAGACGGTGAAGTGCCTAGATGGAGCGCAGACTTCCTCAATTAGAATTAAGTTGGCGTACGAGTCACCTCTGCACCCTAGGGATAGAAGTAGTACCCACTGCTTTTAATGGATGAATTACCACTCGATATGCCTGTCCCTGTATCAGCTTTCATCACACGCTGGTTTGACTGATTTTAAGGCCCATGGCCTCCCAAAACAATGCAGCTCATTCCTTGCGATCTCCATCTACGCCTCAATAATTCTTGTCCCTTTTACATCTCGGACTGTCGGACCCAGTATCTGCCCCAAGCCTGACATTATCACTGGGTAGGCCGACCAGGGGTCTGGCTCATTTTCAAAATCTGGATTTTCAGATTTTGCGTGCACATTCGCACATAGTGTTGGAATCTACCTACAGATCAGTGGTAGGAATTCTACGGGAATTATTAATTGTCACTTGCGCAGGCTTAAGCTTGTGTCTCATCTTTTTACAATTCGCATTTTACTCTGAATCTGTGCAATTACACCATGAACGCATATACTCCAAACACCGCCTGACCGAAGGTTTCATGAGATCAGCAAATCTTCTCAGCTAGATGGCGATTTTTGCAAAATAAAATTTTATTATTCATATTACCTCAGCATTTATGTCCCGTACAGCAGTTGCTGACTATGTATGTCAAGCAATGGTCCGCTTCTTTACTGGCCGTGCTAGTCTCTGACCATCCATTTACTGGCCTACGCAGACTTCTAAGGCAGGTCTACCAGCGTTGGAGTGGGAGCACTCACCCCAACATTGACGTTATGCAGACGGACTAGCACGCTCTCCATGTCGACTAAAATCGTAGCCCTTAACGACGGCTTACATTCTGGCCAATATATTTCTGCTTACTGATCACTCAGCTAAGGGTCGACGTGACGCGCTCGCACGGGTTTTCCAAACAGATAACACTAGTTCTCGGTAACTATTAAAAAGAACTCAACAGTGATCTGGTCTCAAGATATTTCAGACGACAAGGGTGTCTAGAATGGAATGGCTGTGTTCTCTTCTGTCGTGGAGGTGACAGGACATATTAGCCCTATGACGAACACTCGCGCGACGCGCTATGCAACTGCACATGGTTGGTGATTGTCCAGACTGGGGAGTCGACCAGATCGTCAGGTCTGACAGTCAGCACAAACCCACATGAATAAGAAGCGACACGTCACACAACGCCAGTA